CCCCACCGAGCCAACTCCACCAGGCAGGGCAGGGAGGGAGTGGGACAGATTCTGGGAGTGCAGCGGGGAGGAGTCCCAGCTGGGCTGAACGGGGAGCTGTTTGGCAGTGCCAGAACCCAGGCCCTAGAGCCCTGCAGGAGAGGAGGTGGACTGGAGAGGAGGCAGGTGAGTGCCCCAGGCCCAGTATGGGAGGTCCAGGGCTACCGGAGAGGCCCTGCAGGCTTTCGGGGCCAGGAGAAGGGGCAATGAAGGGGGCCAGGAACAGGGGCCTGCCTGAGGGAGGGCACAAAGATTTCCTTAATGATTAACTTTCCCCAGAGGCCAGTTTGGAAACGGAGAGTCCTCAACCCCTGTGATTAGGGTTGGGGGCTGTGTGAGGCCTACAGAGGAGAGTATGGGGTAGGAAGACCCCTCCTTCTGGCCCAGCAGTAGACTGGGCTCCTCTCCAGGGGCTGGGCCATTGGGCAGGGTGTTCTGGAGCTTTGCCCACAGCTGTTCCGATCCTTCCCTAAGAGAAAAAGGGCAAAACATGTTGGTGGGGGGCAGGGAGGTGGCCAGACTCTGGTCACAGGCCTCTCTGGGCTCTGGGAGCTGTGTCCTGGGAGAGGTGATGGAGCTTAGGAGGAACTAGGAAAGGCCCAGGGAGCCTGAGAACCCGAGGAGAGGGGCAGGAGCCAACATGACTTCTCCTCTACCTTAGGGTCTACTCTGGTCCTCATTGTGCTCTAGGAGCTATGCCTTGGGAGGGGCTATGAGACCTGGAGGAACCCAGTGAGGTCCTGGGGGAGCCTGGGAGCTCCGGGAGAGGGAAAGGGGTCAAACTTCAGCTTCTTCTGCACCTCGGTACCCAGGCAGGTCCTGGCTTGACTTGTTTTGCTTGGCAGAGTCACCTGCACTATAGGAGCAAGCATTCCCCTGCCCAAACCTGTGAGGTGGGGATAAGAGCAAGGGTGTTGGGAAAGGGAGCGCTGAGGGTGCTGGTGAGAGAGTCTTGGCCTTTCTTCTGGTTAGGAAAGAGGTCTGGGTGCTAGTGAGGTCAAGGTCAGCTGTGTGTGTGTGTGTGTGTGTGTATCCCTAGTGTGTGTGTCTCTCTGGCCACATTAGACTCCTACAGCTTCACTTGTTCACTCATCTGGAAGAAATTTCAGGGAAGGCAATTTATTTCTCCAGCTGCAAAAGCAGCAGTGGATGGAAGGTAGATGGGTTACTCAAGATGAGGGGACCAAGAATGGCAGAGCTCTTAGCTCTTTGTGTGTCCCTGTGAATGAGTCCTGTGAGGGCTGAGGAGGATGAGACAGGGCACATTTATGAGAGACTGAGAGTTTAGTCTCCTGGAGCTGAAAAAAGAGGGAGAAGAGGGAACAGAGAATGGGACTATTTAGGTTGGATTTATTTGAAACAACTTTGCAAATAAAATGAAGTATCACCAGCCCAGTTCAGATCTCACTATCCCCGTGTATGGAAGGAAGTCAGGGCAAATGAGTGAATTGCAAGGGAATGAATGAATGAAAGAGTGAGTGAGAGAATGCATGTTACTGAGAGAGTAAGAGAATGAATGAGAGTGAATAAATGATTGATGAATGAATGAGTAAGCAAATAAATGGCGAGCCAATGGATGAATGAGTTGAAGGTGGAAGGGACACAGAGGATGCTAAATTTAGGGTCAAGAGTAGACTAGGGTTAGGACAGAATAGTGACTAGAAGGGATGGGAGTCCAGGGACACAACCCAACTCTCAGAAACAATTTAAGCCTCAAGAATTGTGAATGGAGATGAGAGGAGAAGGTGCATGTTGGAGGGTGTGGTGGATATTCAAGACTCCAGGTTGAAGGGGACCTGGGAGTTGACGTGGTGGGGCAGGGTTAGAAAGCCCTTGGAGGGGGTAGGGCCCAGAACCTGGGAGTGGGAGGGTGGGGCTGGAGTGGCTGTGATCCAGGGGGATGGTGTCAGGGCAATTTGGACTTTTTTGGAGAAGTCAGCAAGCTGGGGTGAGGTGGGTGGGAGCCTCCTGTTTGCTCAATGATGAATCAGCCAAGGAGAAGACAATGAGAACATTGTGGGGAGGGGGCTGGGGGCCCAGGTGAGAGGGTCCACTGGAGAACAAATTGTCACCACTCCCACTTTTTTGGGAAGGTTCCAGTGTACAGTGTTCACCCTCCTTCTCTCAATTCAGGATCAACCTGTGGCAAAGTCCTGTTTACTCTTCCTGGGAGGGGGAGGGTGGGGCAGTGCACCCACCCCTCTCCCCACCCTTACCTGAGTTCTTTCTGACTTGGTTGGTGAGAAGATGGGACCGGAAGAGGGGTGGTGGCTGTGGGATGGGTGGGGTGGCAGATCCTGTCTTCTGGCCCCCAGGGGAGGGAGGGAGGAGGTGGGTAATGACACCCAATTGTGCCACTTGGATACCTTCCTTCAGAAAACTTCAGAAAGGCACTTGTCCAGATGGTTATCTTCAGTACATGCACTTTACAAAAAGCTATGTGTGTGGGGGATTACTGGGAGGAGGGTCTAGGAACTGAAGACCAGAGATGCTCAGCTACCTCTCTGGGGTCACCCAGCACACCTAACTGCAGGCAGCTGAGTCTCTTGGGATGCTTATTCTGTGTCTTGCCTGCTTGGCTGCTGCCAGAGGCTAGGTAGGGATTGAGGAGAGGCAGGAGAAGTCTCTATGGTCAGAGAAATAAGACCTCAAGAAGGAGGGAGATGAAGACAGGTGGTGGGTGGGGTGGGTGGGGCAGGGGAGAAAGCAGAAAAGCACCCTGCCCCCAAACCAATTTCTTTCTCTTTTCCTCTTCCTGTTTCCCCACAGAGTTCCTCACCTGGGGAACAAGGTCTGAGATGGTTGAGGACAGAGGGTTCTCTGATCTTTTTCCCCATTCTCAAGGCTCAGTTGGGAGCAGGTTTGGTGCCATCTTTCCTGAAGCGGGTCCACCTTTCAGAATCCCCAGGAATGCTAATCATGGGCCAGGCTACCCTCACATTCAAGGGCAGCAGAGTAGGCAGCTCATGTATTGAAAACATTTTCTTTTTCCCTCCTCATTTGTGAGTTTTAGAGATTTTGTTTGAAAATCTTATAAAGGTGTAAGTATTAAACCCCAGAATTGCACCTGTAACAAATAGCTTGTATGGAAAAGAGTTTCCTGCAGTCACGACTCCATCCTTCATCCTTCGACCACAGACCAGAGTGGTCAGGTGGGTGAGGCAGGGGAGAAGAAGGGCAGGATTTCCAGCCAGAGACAGGTGGCCACTCCAGCCTGATCCCTCTTCCTCTCTCCTTTCCTTCCTTCCTGTGTCCTGTCTCTGTTCCTCTGTGTCTCACCCTTCCCTTGAGAAAAGCTTCAGTCAGTCGTAGGCTGCATCAGCTTCAAAGGGTGGCCAGAGGCCATGGCTACCTGGTATCTGGCCTGGCAGGAGAGGGAGTGACCATTTATAGAACATCTCCCTTGAGCAAGGCACTGCCCCTTTGCAATGAGGACTAAGGGAGCCACAGACATTAAAGCAGGAAGATGTTACATCCAGGAATTAAATAAACATATTCCAAATTTCCAGTCTTGCTTGTAATCTCTGATTCCTGTGATTTGGTAGCAAAAATACAGTGGCTGTGTGTAAAAACACTGTCTTGGCCTCAAAGAACATCTGGGGAGACAAAATCTAGTAAGAGGCTGGGTTACTTCAGTCAGTGGGCAGTGAATACAGACGTGGGAGCCATAGGAAGATGCTGAGGGCAGGGGTCAGGGCAAGCTTCCCAAGGGAGATGAGGCTTGGGCAGGGCCAGAGTCATGGGCAGTCTCAGCTAGATGGAGATGCCAGGGGAGCTGGTGAGGGAGCAGGGAGGGCCATGAGGAGATTCAAAAGCAGGTGGTAGGGGCAGGGAGCTTCTGTGGGCCTGGCACAGTAGGCAGCCTGTCTGAATAAGACTGTAGGCTGCTCAAGCCTCACAGTGGCTGTGTCCCCGTTGTGCCCAGAAGGCACCAGGCGAGGGCGACTGGAGTTCATTCCTGGACTTGGGGGAGGGAGGGTTGACTTGGGGGGGCTCTGGGCATGGGCGGTGACTCCCAGAGCAGATCCGCCTGCTCCCCTCATATCCTGTTATTCAGAAGGCTGTATCCGCTAGCTCGCAATGTGAGTGTCTTTTGTCCTGGGGTGAAGGGGGATGCTTGTGGCCTTTGGCAGGCTGCCGCTGTGTCCAGGGCCCAACTCCAACTGGGGTGAACCAGGCCTGGCTCCACCTTAGGTAATGGTAGGTGGGATGGTTCTTGGGTCTTGCTGTATCTTTAGAGGTGGGTGTGAGGGAGAGAGGCCAATGGGTATGGCTGGGGCATTCTGCACAGAGTCTGACTTGATAGATGAGAAACTTATCCCCTTTCCCAGAGTGGGGCAGCCATGGTTTGAGACCTTGGACTCCCTGCCCTTGGGCCTGTTGTGGGATCAAGGAGGGCCTAGGTGCCTACCTTTTGCTTTATTGCCTGGGGCTAAGCGTCTCTTCTCAGCCAACCCTTGGGGTGGAGGTGGGAGTGGGGGTTGGGGGAGCCAATAGCTCCTGTTCCTGCCCCCCTTGGTTCATCTAAGCCATTCCTAGCTGGGCTTGCCCTCAGCTGCCCTTGCTGTCGGCTGGCCAGGTGTGGAGTTGAGCAGGAGGGGTGGGCAATTACTCCTCCTCTTCCCACGAGATCCTCTTGCTCTCACTGGGCTGTGCCAAGCTGTCACCCATGCCTGGGGCTGGGGAAGGGCCTGGGGAACCTGCTGAGGCAGTTGAGCTGGGCAACACCTGGATTAGAGGAGACACATAGTTCTCATTCCAGGGCCCACCTCCACGCCCACCTTGTCACAGCCTTCCCCTTTCCCTGCATCCTCCTGAGGACAAATCTGTCTGGGATGCCCAGGTCTCCAGGCAGGAAAAGGACAAGGACAAAGGGTCAGGGAAGAGGTTTGGCCCATGGGCTCCCTTCTCATCTCCCTTTCTCATGTTGCCCAGGCCTTGGGAGGAGGTGAGGTGGTGAGATGGCGGACGACTACACGGAGCTGGAGAAGGCAGTCGTGGTCCTAGTGGAAAACTTCTACAAATACGTGTCTAGGCACAGCCTGGTCAAGAATAAGATTAGCAAGAGCAGCTTCCGCAAGATGCTCCAGAAAGAGCTCAATCATATGCTGACGGTAAAGCCCTGCCTCTGGGAGGCCTCTGTCCTCTCAGGATGTCCTCCACTCCCAGGCCTCTGTCCTGTCAGGGTTCCTCCACCCCAGGGCCTTGTCTCCCATTCCCAGGCCTCTGTCCTGTCAGGTGCCCAGGCCTGAGCCAATAAGGCTCTGTTTGAGTTCCCGTGGCAGATACTACCCTGGCCAGATTTCTTGGACTCTGCCCAATATCCTGTCTGGAGGCTCTGTGAGGCTGCCACCCTCAGTTGCTGACCCTTGATTCCTCCCCAGGACACAGGTAACCGAAAGGCTGCTGACAAGCTCATTCAGAACCTAGACGCCAACCACGATGGACGCATCAGCTTTGACGAGTACTGGACCTTGATAGGTGGCATCACCAGCCCCATCGCCAACCTCATCCGCGAGCAGGAGCAGCAGAGTAGCAGCTAGGGCCCCCCACATCTTCTAGGCACTGACCCTGACACCCAGCTCCCCATGCTGTTGGCTAGGTCCCTTCTCAGTCTCTTCTGCCCACCAGGCCTTTTCCTAGGTTCTCCTTCCAGACCTTCTCCTGACCCTTCCTGAACAGAGAGAGGGGAGATGTCAGGGTCCTTGTGTGAGTCTCAGTCATTAGGTGCTTCCTTGAGGGTCTCAGTCTCTGGAGCCAGTAGGCCCTGAGGGCCCTTCTATGAAATCTCAATGCTGTTTAGGGACCCCAAGACTTTCCTCACTGATCAGCCCATCTACTTGTCCAACGTTTACTGTTCCTGCTTGATTTTTGCCTGATTCTGGGTTCGTCCCAACCTCCTGCAGGGGCTGGCTACTCATTGCTTGAGGTCTCCCTGCTCCTGGCAGCAGCAGCAGCAGAGAGTCTCTCCCTGTCCCTTTGCCCCTCTGCTGGGTAGAGAAACATGTCCAAGGATCCCCTCCAGCTGCCTCTGCATCTGGGAATGAGCTAAGCAGGCCTGGGCTCCCTCCCGCCTGCTTAGTCACTGGAGAATGGCAATAAAGTCTGGATTTGGAGTTTGTACCCCTCTCACCCTGTTTCTTTGTGATGCTTATTTAAAATTTTCCACTCTTTGGGACATCCTTGTGCCTCAGTGGTCTTCACCCTCAGCCCTGAGGCAAGAAAGGGTTCTCCCAGAGAAACCTCAGGGCCAGAGCAAGATAAGAAGCCAGAAACCCTGGATTCCAGCAGGTGCTGCCCTCCTGCTCCATAAAAAGCAAAGATCACGTGTCATCATCTCTGGGCCATCACAGCACAGGACAGGCACACAGTAGGTCTCTTTTAGCCCTCACTTCAATTTGATGAGGGAGGAACCATACCCTCAGGGCCATCTTGAGCCATGGGTGGCACTGAGGCCTTGATTCCTCAGTAGCAGTTTATTCCAGTACACAGAAAAGTTTGTGGGATAGGAAAGTAGTGGTGCAGGAGGTCAGCATTGGGATTGGGAGTGGGAAAGGAAACCACCACTTATAGCTGCAGGGGCAACAGTTCCAGTTTCTGTTTCTCTCTCTGCTCTTCACTGACAGAGCCCTTGCCAGGTTGGGAGAAGAAGACAAAGAAACAGGGCAGGGAGGCCAACCTGCAGAATTCTGGGTCATTGGGTTTTAAACCGGGACAATGCACCCCAGGGTCCAAGAAGATTCTCCAGGAGCTGCACAGGCCTAGACAGTTTGGTTAGAATCATGTACAGATCCTCAGCCTTCTGCAGTTGGTCTGCCTCTGAACAGACCTGCGGTCAAAGCATCAAGCTTGTTCTCCATGCCTACAGTCTTTCACAACCACCCTTCCCCAATTAAACATGAAGGGCATATCCTTTATCTGTCCTGAATATCACTACACTGCCTTGACTCAATGGTACAGAACTCATTCTCTCTCTATCTTTTTTAATTTAACAGATGATAAAACAAAAAACCAAACTCACTGCTGTTGAGTCAAATCCGATCATAGCTATCCCTTCTTGGGTTTCCGAGGCGGGATCACTATGGAAGTAGCTTGCCCCAGTCTTCCTTCCAAGGAGTGGCTGGTGGGTTTGTTGCTATGTTTCGACTTCATTGAACATATATTTTAAACAGAGTTTTAACAGTTTTACTTAAAAAAATGTCACAGTCTCTACCATACTTCAGAAATTGTACCCTTTGTGATGATTTAAACTCATGATGAGAAATTTGAGCTGCCAACTTAAAAATGTGTCAGGCAGTAGTACATCATTCTTCAAAATTCCTTTCGGGAGTGTGGAAGCAAACCTTATGAAGACAGATCACTGCTTTAGAGGGTAGCAGGAGTCTCTGGGTGGTACAATGGTTAAAGTGCTTGGCTACTAACTGAAAGATTGGTGGTTCGAGTCCACCCAGTGGTGCCTCAGAAAAAAGGCTAGAGATCTATTTCTGAAAAATCAGTCATTGAAAACCCTGTGAAGCACAGTTCTACTCTGACACACAAGGGATTACTCAACAGTAACTGATTTTTTAAGTCATCACTCTGTAGGCAGTGGTGCTACCTGGAAAAGCTTCTTGGAGGAAGCATGAGCTGAGCTGGAACAAAAAGCCAGAGAAAGTCAGGACAAGGGACAAGGAGCCTCTCAGAAGATAGAGCAGGTTGGCCAGGTGCCAAGGCCTTGGGGTGGTGGTGGAGGTGGTTCCTCAAGTGAAGGGTCTCATGAGAAGTCCCGGAGGCGATTCAGGACCAAGTGGCTCTGTCTGCCTCCCTCCTTTCAACGACAGGCTCCTTAGTACATTTTCAACCTTCTGTACTGTGCCTGTTCCCTCTACCCTATTCAGCATTCCCATCTTTCTTTCCAAAGAGAGGGAAATTGCATTGGGAAAACAATGTTATCTCCATATCAGAGATTAGAGAGAGACTCAGGAGGAGCCAAGGAGCTGGGTGGAGGAAATCTAGTCTGCCCCATAGGGCTGCTCATACTTCCTCCAGAGATTGGACGCTGCTCCCTTCACTGCCCCTGGTACTTGGCTGCAGCCCAGCACTTCTATCCCACCAGGACTTCAGGATATAGGATGGGTCTGTGACCTCAGCTAGAAGCCTGTTGCTAGGGTGTCTCAGTTTAAGCTTAGATCCTTGGGGAGGAAGCTGAGCTTTGGTGGAGGTCAGAGATGCTTAATGGCAGTCAGGGCTTGGGCTTCAGGGCCTGGAGCCAGAGAGGTCCCAGAGGAGTGAAAGCAGATACTGCAGGGTTAGGCTTGAAGCCTCTAGGGAGTGTTGGGGCCAGAGAAGGGCTTGTCTTTCTGCCCAAAACCTGTCAAGGAACCAGAAAGCCTGAGCAGAGCCAGCTTGGAAGGCAGCTCATCCCAGCCCAGAGGTGCAGGCTGGGTACCTGCAAGGGGTGGGAGGGGCCAGAAACAGGTTTCTATGGGACATCTCAGGCCCTCCTTCTATCTGGGGTCTTGCACTAGCCTGGCTCAGTGTCTAACCAATTGGAATGGAGGTCTTAGGTGCCTAGTAAGTTGTGCTCTTCAAACCCATCTATAGCTGACTTGTCTTACTTTAGGGTGAGAGTTTGATTCATCTTGTCACATGAGGGTAAAAAAACCTAAGACCATGTGGGTCAGCTTTGGTACCTCCTGTACATTTGGTTTTGCTTTCCATTTAGATTCCTAGTAAAGTTCCTTTTGAAAAATTAAACAATCCTTTCTTCTTGCCCAATTTTAAAGGGTCATTTGGTCTTCCAGACAGCCCTGTGAGATAGGAATCATGATCCGCATTTTATAGATGATGATATCTAGGCTCTGGGAAATGATGCCCTTCCCCAAGAACACATGGCTGGTGACCAGTGAGCTGTGATTCAGACTCTATCTTTTACTAACTCTGTGTTAGATACCTACAGGGCAGAAGGTTCCCATCCAGAGCTTGGCCCCCATAACTATGGAGGAACAAGAGTGCGCCCTACAGGCCATGCATGGTATGACTGTGACTGCTTCTGTGGCAGACCTATTCATTCATTGAAGTATAAAATAAAAAAAAAACCAAACTCACTGCCATGGAGTTGACTCTATTCTGGGTCATAGTGACCCCCTTTGGGTGTCTGAGGTGGTAAATCTTTACAGAAATAGATTTCCCAGTCTTCCTTCCATGGAGTGGCTGGTGAGTTCAAACTGCCAACCTGCTGGTTAGCAGTCAAATGCCTTAGGCACTACACCACCAGAGCTTCTTTTCAAGAAGTAGGGTGTAAAAATGTGTGACTGAGGCGTCTGACCTCCTCTATCTTCACTAAGGGGAGAAAGAATCACCATTAGCATCACCCCAAGGCTGATTCCTATGAAGTGGAGGTTAGACATGCCTCCTTTATCCAAGTATTTTACCAATTCTAACACCAACTGTAGCTCCGATGGCACTCAACTTCTCTGCTCAGTTTGATAATTCATTGTAACGGCTGTACAGGACTCACAGACAATACTCACGTATATGAGATTTATTAGGGAAGTCATAGGCTACAATTCAGGATGAGAAATGACTCAGGATACAGTTTTTCAATCAGGACACCCTCTTAGCCATGCCTATAGGCAGGTCACTTCAGGTCACCTCAGCCTTTCAGCCCCTTGACCTGGACTCTGCTTTGCTTGGACAGGTGTTACAAAGCTCTTTGGCTCCACCAGTAAGTGACTGGAGGCACCCCACTCTGTCAGCAAGCCTCCACTCTGGCTTTTTCACTCGATGGAAGGAGAAGCCCACCATGCTGTCTCTTGCCTGTCACCTGATTCTGTTGCCTCTGCTGCTATCCTTTCTCTGCTGCTGCTTCTCACTGTCTCTTACCCTCTCTGGGGTTAGGTCTATGTCCCTGGGTCTGAGAAGTTCTCCTTGCAGGGACTCTGAATCCAAAGAACTCGCTCTGTTCCTATCTCTTCTTCTTGGTGGTAGTCAGTTCCCCACCGTCTATCTCTGCGATGTCTCATTTTAACTAGTGGGATGATTAAAACTGACCAATCCCTTTGTTAGGGTTCCATATACCTTATTAGCATGGTCCCACCCCCACAGGGTGCCATGCGCCTTATTTGCGTTAGCAGCAAGCTGTCCAATATTCTCGGTGGGCCAAAAGCATCTTATTTGCACAGTTCCACTCAAATCTTTTTGTGGGAATTACATGACCATAGCTAGAAAGGTCATAAAAGAGTGACCCATTGCACAGCATAGAGCCTTATATGTGCCAGACACAGTGGGTGCTGAAACAAAAAGAGTAGGAACAGATACATTTCCTGATTTGATGGGGCTCACAGTTCAGAGGAAGAAGACAGCAAATAGCCATGAATCATACAACCAGTTGCTGTCAAGTTGATTCTGACTCATGGCAACCCTGTATGTGTCAGAGTAGAAATGTGTTCCATAGGGTTTTCAATGGCTAATTTTTTTTTTTTTTTATTGTGATTTGGGTGAAGATTTACAGAGCAAATTCACTCTTGATACAGCAGTTCACATATATTTTGTCTCATGTCAT